CCCGGCCGCCGCCCCCCAGGGCTTTATCGAGCGATCGCCAGCATCGGTTCGGGGCTAAAAACCGACATTTCCGTACAGTAATTCAGTCAGTTTTGTTGTGAGTTGGCACTCCAGAGGCTCCGCCGTGCCGGATCTCCTCAGAGCACGGAATGAGCAGGCAGTCCTTCGGGGTCATTATGTTTTTCTTAATTGTCTTTCCTTCCGAGGAGGATGCGTCCACGCAGTTCGCTAAGACGGCGGTAAATGCCTCCTTCATCCCTGTTGAATTTTAAGTTTTATGTGTTCGCCCGAACTGCAGCCTGGAAGGACGTAATGTAAACTGGAACAAGTTAGTGAAAATCTCTGAAGATGGTCAAAATCTTCTCTGGAGAAGATCCCAGGTGACTGTGAGGAGCGTTGGCAGAGCAAGGCAGAGACGTGCCTTCCCTTTGCAGCCTTCCAGACCCTATGGCGGCCTACAGGGAGGCTGGGGAGGGACGCTCGGTCAGGGCCTGCTGTGATGGGACGAGGGGGAATGGCTTTAAACTAAACAAGAGAAAATTTAGACTAGATAATAGGAAGAAATGTTTCCCTGTGCGGGCGGTGAGCCCCTGGGGCAGGTTGCCCCGAGAAGCTGTGGCTGCCCCATCCCTGGAGGTGTTCAAGGCCAGGTTGGACGGGGCTTGGAGCAACCTGGGCTGGGGGGAGGTGGCCCTGCCCGGGGCAGGGGGTGGCACTGGGTGGTCTTCAAGGTCCCGTCCAACATAAACCATTCTGTGATTCTATGTTAAAGCGTCTCAGAAACCAATTACCTGAATTCTTATATCAGCTAACTTCTGTGGCTATTCCTTGTCATAGTGTTTAACCTACAAACAAAGCTTAAACTTATCTTCTAAAATAAACATTTACACAGGGGACATCTCATGTTCCAGTTTTGGCTTTTTATTACTGTAAACCATTCCACGATTTCTCGGTAGCAAATCCACATTCTCAGTTCTGTGGTACTGAATTGTGTGAAGGCCCTGGGGGTGTTCAGCCTGGAGAGGAGGAGGCTGAGGGGAGACCTTCTCGCTCCCTACAGCTCCCTGACAGGAGGGGGTAGCGAGGGGGGGTCGGTCTCTGCTCCCCAGGAACAGGCGATGGGACAAGAGGGAACGGCCTCAAGTTGCGCCAGGGGAGGTTTAGATTGGAGATCAGGAGAAATTTCTTCCCAGAAAGGGTTGTCCAGCACTGGAAGAGGCTGCCCAGGGCAGTGGTGGGGTCGCCATCCCTGAAGGTGTTTAAAGGACATGTAGCCGTGGTGCTGAGGGACATGGGTTAGTGGTGGGCTGGGCAGGGCTGGGGTGACGGGTGGGCTTGATGGTCTTAAAGGTCTTTTCCAATCTAAACGATTCTATGATTCTATGTTTTAATTTATTATGTAGCTTTAGAAATGTCTTTACGCCATATGTTTCTTGGAAAGCACTGTTTTGTTTGGTGAATTAAGCTGCCAGGTGGGTTACTTGTGAACTTTGTGGTAAACCACCTGTATATGACAGTTTCTTGTGGAGTGTTTTCTAGTTAATAAAGTAGTTTTGTAACAGATGGTAGAATTTTACAATACCAGTGTGTACTGAATGGATCATAGTACAGCCGTTGGTATCTCTGGGGTAAAACCATTCCTTGTCCACCAGACTTACCTAGACCTCTCAGGGTCACACCATTCAAACACACCCATAAGTACCTTCTGCGTTGTTTACAGCTGTATAAAAATGTAGGTTAGTTCCATCAAAACCAGTTTTAATTCTGAATCCTGGCCAGTGCAGTTGAAAGAGCAGTGACGTCCAGTAGTCTTCAGGAAACGGAGTTTTCTCAATGTCAGTATTTCTAAAATAGCAAGTCATGACCTCTGGGAGTCTGTCACTGAAAAGTTGTCAGGATGGCTACAGGCACCAGAAATTACTTTTAGCAGTTGAAAGGAGAGGAGAATTCTGCGCATTTTACCTTTCCAAATCCCTTCTATGCCAGTTCTTGAACAACAACAAAAAATAAGTTTATTATTAATATATTTTCACTCTTCCTTTTAAGATTAGTATAGCCAGTTCATGGAAAAAGCTTTGGAACAGTCTTTGGAAATTATGGGATATAACTGCAGTGAGGCTTCCTCTGTTGCATCTGTTTTCATACCTGCTCTAAGAATATGAAGAAAATGATAGTGGAAAAGCAGGTAGGGTGAGAAAGGGTAATTATGGCTATGGGAAAAAATGAGAGCTGCCTTAGAAATGATTTAATCAGATGTTTTAGGAAAGAAATTAGGCTCTTTGTTCTTTTAAAGATATTCTTTTTCTAGATTCTCTTCTCTGAAAAAGAAAGCTCTTGTACAATTAAATGTATACATAGAGGGTTATGTCATGCAACATAGGGCAGCATAAGAAACCAAACAGTTGTAGTCTTGAACATCTGTCTGTCCTCCAACAAGGAAGGCAGTATTGAAAATTTTCCACGCTTGAACATGACACTGGCAGCTTTCCACTGCAGCGCCGATGCTGAAAGCTCCACGCAAGAATGCCGATGTTAGAAAATTGTCGGTCCCAAAGCCGTGCCTCCTCCCAGCGCCCTCGCGCCTGGAACAGCGCTTCTCTCTGTGCCGGGTGCCACAATAAGCTGTCACCGTTTTTTCATTGCGCCACACTGTTCCTTTTCAGACAAAACCACAAATTCTGTCTCGAGAGATTCAGTCACTGTTACTCTCCTAAAGCAGTGATCTATGCAGTAGTGACTTTGGTCGGTCCGCGTGGTTAATTTATTAACCACATGTGGATGACAGTTGTGGGGAAGAAGCATAAACTCCAGGACTTGAAGCTTACTTCTGCTTGAATAATTCAGCTCATGAAATGACTGTTAAGTTTTATAGCTCCCTGGCTTCGAGCCCTTTGGAGTTTCTAATCTGCTCCACAATTACAATTTTCGGCGCTATTGTTAGCTTCACTTAATCCAGTAAACTGCGTGTGAGGAGAGATATGCAATGTAGTGACTAGAAACGCTGGAGAGAGGGAAAAGACCAGGTGGGTGAGACCAAGTTACAGAGCTGAGAAATGGATTTGAAGAAAAGTATGTCACAGACATACAAAACCGTGTGATAGGAGTGGTAATACTTTACATCATACTCTATCGCTTGGCTTCTGTGGGCAGCTTCTACAGCTTTGCTGGATACTGGTGTCAGTCTGGACAAAGCCAGGGAAGAAATTAACCAAGACCTTTCATTTGAATTAACGTTTCCATCGGGGGATCCATTGCAACACATACCGTTCAGCTGAGGAGACTGCAAACTACAGTTGCGTGACCTTAACTCTGACCAAACTTTCGTTCTGCTGTAAGTGTATTATATGGTGACACTGTCAGTTTTAATTGAGTCAGTCGGACGAAGAAGCTGTGCTGTCTCCCCAGAGACTCTACTATTACCCAGAGTCCTGTATGGAATATGCCTTAATGTAGCCTTAATGGCAATAAACTTCTGCTTTGGAAAGCGATCGTTCTTGATTGATTACTGATGAAAGGGTCTCTCTTACGGACTGAGAAGTCAGTGTTTACTGCATGAATAACGGAAGCGAGTTGCAGCTGCTCTCAATTTTAATGTCACCTAACTTCACTAATAGTAACACAAGATGTTGAAAGAAAAAGCAAATCTAGCTTTAATCAGCAATTTTTTGCTTCAGAAAAAGATTAAAATCCATGACGCAAAAAGCATTTAAATAGGTGACTGCTTTAAAACGCCCCTTTTAATGTGAGTTACGAAGTCTACAGACAGCAACTATGTTTTTTGGCCTATTTCACGTGAGCGTCTCATACCAGATAGACGGTAGGAGCTTTAGGATGAAAAGCAAAAACCAGAATTACCTAGGCTACCGCTTACCTAAATTCAACACAAAACTTATTTTACTGTAGCGTTCCAGTTACAAGCAGTTACTTTCTTTGCGCTTTGATAAAAACACATATAACTGCAGCTGCCCAAAAGTTGACAAAACTGTTATTTCTGTCACTATCTTAAAAAATTGCATTTAAGATAATATATTACAGCTTTTCCCATGTTTTCTGTTCTTGTATAACATGCAAATAATACGTATTTTATAAAAATGAAATCTATTTACCCTTTAAACATTACAGTTTTATTATATGGGCTATTGTAAAGCCTGCGTAACCAGTTAAGCAGCTCGCAGGCAAACGGTGGCTGTGTTACACCAGGCTGGATTAGTCCGACAGCTCAGGAACTTGTTTTGACTTTGTGCTGCTACCAAGTACCTAAAACAAAGGCAGCCTACATAAGACACTAGCCGGGACAGCTGCGGAGCAGAGACTGAACTGCAGTGGTCATATGATAGAAATAAATACAACAAATCTCTCCTGGTACTAATGCAGGTATTACTAGGAACACTGGCCGTTCCTGGTCACAATGGTTGTTAACTGAACTTTTTCAGTCTTAATTTGACAAGAACTTTTCTTGCATTGGCTTTACAAGTTTGGGTTTTTTTTTTTTATATTTTTATTTTTCTATTCCTAGACCTTGCTTTCTTGTTTACATTCAAAGTAACACTCACGTAACATTTTCCCCTCAAGATCTTAATAGACCTCCTTTGTATCTTGCTATACTGTTAATCCCTTATTACAGGTAGGAGAAGAAAGCAGTAATTTGCCTTTGTTCATCCATTAGTTTCATAGGCAGTTTAGAGGCTTAAAAATGTGGATGGCTGTAATTTACACTATGAAATGGGTTTAAATGGGTAGAAAAAAAGTTCCTCTCCTCCTGTCCCCACCTCCCGAACTCTTCCAACCTTGGTAGACGCCGGTACTTTACCTGAAACGTATACATGACTTACTCTTAAGAAATAAAATGTAATTACTAACACAAATGTTTTGTCATTTGGGAATTGGAGAACATAGCTCCAGGATGGTTTTTCTTTTCTTGTTCTGAGCAGTCGGACAAAGGGTTGGACTGTGTCCGGCCCTGGAGCTGTGACATCCAGCGAGCAGGTCCGAAGAGGCTATAGTCACAGTCCGGCTCCCAAATAGTCCTAGCAGCCATGTGAGGTTAGCTGCCGGTGCTCACCGCTGCCAAAATAAGGTATGTGTCAACTCACGGTGACTTACAAATGCTGAAACTTCTACGTAACAAACCAGAATGTTCTGTTTCTACCTTGTCTGATCTGAGGGACTGTTTTCTTCTGCGGTCGTGAGGGCTAGAAACTTAAAACCAAGCTGAACCGGGCAGTGGAAGCTGTTTCCTATGTAATTGCAGCTCTAAAATGTCTTAGGCAAGAGAAAGAATAGAGTGAGTTAGCAAAGCTATGTGCCACGGGCTGCAGGAGGAAGGAGGAACCGTGCCCTCCTCTCTCCCAGCGCCAGAAGAGAGAGCGGGTTTGGCTGGTACCAGCCTGGTTGCTGGTAGGCCCTGTGATAGTCGTCAACACGTCGGCCTTGGGTCCAGGCACTGGAAAAACTTACATGAACCTCAGTGCCTCTCATTAAACTGAAATGGGTCTCAAGTTTCAGTCACGTGGAGTACATCCTCTGCTGTTGCTAATGTAGATGTTGTCATAGTAGAATTATTAATTTCTCCTCTTATTTCGGGCAAGTAGTGCTGTCATATGTGTCATACAAATTATCATCGGATACACAGGTAATCTGCTGAGACTAGAAAGTAAATGCTCAGGAAATTCTTTTCATTGTTTATTCATCAGTCTCATTTTTAGTCATGGGTCCTGTGGGATTTTCCAGCAACTGATGATATAAAAGTATAGTTTCTCTAGAAGATCCCATTGTATACCCTACTCTATACTGTTAAGCGTTTTACAGTAACAAGGAAGGTTGTTTCAGAGATCTTGCACTACTAGAAAATCTGTCTGTCTATAATAGCAGTCAAAAGCCGACGCTTCTACTCCACAGGCCCAACTCTCGTGGGGAAAAAAAACTTTTAAGGAAGTTTGATAATAAACCCTTGGGCGTGTGGTTAATCCTCAGCATTTAGCGTGACCATGTGTGAAGTTAAGGCGAAGCTGTCCCTAAGCCCTGGCAGGGATAAACGCCTACAAATGAAAAAGAAATAGGGAGCGGCACAGTCGAGCATTTGAAGAAATAAACAAGGAAATGTCAAGAGAAGTTGCTCCGTCTCAAAGGAAGGTCGGTTTATTCAAAGCTAATGAGAAGCTGCAGTGCAGCCCAAAACATGACTGTTCCAGTTTTTAAAAGCTGAAAAAAAGAATCCTTAAAACCTGTAAGAGAAACCTTTAAGAGCGAAACCGTCTTGATAAATACGCTCCCGTTCGTAGGCTTGATCATGTTGCGCAATTTTTATGTTGCTGTGTTTTATACTAATAATTAACATTTATGTTGTTAAATGATGGTAATATGTATAAATATTAAAAGCATAAACCCCTCATTCTCCTTTTCCAGCAGTTAAAAATTTACTTTGTAAAGATATGATTCATTTTGGACCAGACTTTCATGATGCAACTAGAAACACATAATCAAAGAAGCTGAAGTTCTTTGAGAGCTGGAAGATCTGTATTGTTATTTTCCAAATTCTGAAATAATTTACAAGATCATGTCAAATCATGTAAAATCCTGCTCCAGCAATCAGTTCTGGAGAGAGGTAAAGATCTTTTTGTGCCCGTGGACAGCTGTAATAGCGGAATCAGGTCTCATCTGCGGTGTTTATAAAGTTAATAAATACTAACAACCAAACAGTTAAAAAAACCCTTCTAAACCGTATCTGTTTAAAAACCATAATGTTGAAACTGGAGGGAGGGGGGCTCTTTTTCTGTTCTGTGCTTGAGGATTTGTCCTTGAGCGGATTTCAAGCTTGCCTTTGCGACTGTAAAGGCTGGGAGCTTTATCCGTGTGAAAGCTGAGCCTCTCGCGTTACCTTTCCAGTAAGGGAGCTGAGGCCTGAGGAGCATTAAAGATGAATGGCAATATCTAACGAAGCAGCGGTGCTTTTGATCAGTTGCCATGTATCGAATGGACGATAGCAGCAGGCACTGCCCAAACGTAGGAACCCTGGTACAGGCTGCTGAGTGGCCATTTTTTGTGAAAAAGATCTGTAAAACGTTTCATCTGATCCTTCTCCCATAATATTTCTCAGTTAAGGGTTTATTGTCAAGTAACATCAGCAAAACCCAACTGCAGTTCAAAACGATCGTTATACTTGCATTTGTTGGAGCATTAGCCTGTATCTTTCACCCAGAATGAGCTCCACGGGAAGTCAGGAAAACATTGAAACCCCAAACCCGCATGTAATTTTACTGATTTGATTTTTATAAAAATATCTGTATTAGTATCGGACTCTATTTTGTTTTTACTGACGGAATCCAGATACCTTTTAAAGACGTTCTGGACGATGCATTCTGGACTCGGCTGGAGGAAGCGTTCACCTGCTCCCAAGGGTGCTTAGAACCTGCCGTTAACTTCAGCGTGAGCTAGGTCAGACCTGGAGGTGCTCGTGCCTGCCCTGCCGCGACGAGGGCACTGGGAGAGCCTTCAGAGTTGCTGAACTTTCCCATTGTCTTTTCTGTAAGAGGAATCCATACCAGAAGAGGACGTGGTGGTGCAAAGCAGCACTGCAGTTCCTAGCACCCTCTGACCGCGGAGTTGGTGTAGTACGCGCTATTCAAAGCAAAAAGCAAGCGATTAAAGATAGTGTCAAGTCTGAATTTCGAATTTCTGTAAGCAGAAAACAGCGGATCACAAAGCATAAGACTGTAGCAAAGCGTATACGGTGCTTTTCATGGTATCAAGAGTGCATTTGAGACCAGCAAAATGTGCTGAAAAGATATGACAGTGTTTCTCTTACTAAGAAGAAAGCTGAGCAAGCTTTTTATGTCTTTTCAAGGGATTAAAAAGTAACTCTTAAGCAATATACTACAACTACCTGCCTGTTACTCATAGCTAAATGTGTACTGCATTACTGAAGAAAACCCCTGGGGGTGGCACTTTTTCACTCTGCGCTCCGGATAGCTGCAGTAGGTTTCAGAAAAGCGCTAATGATGATTTTGCGGGGTCTCTTTCTGACGGCGAGATGTAGTACAATGTGACACAAAGTATTAATGCAAGACCCCAGAGGGACAAACGACGGACAAAAACGCTGGCTGTGAGGGAAGGGACTTGGGCTTGTGAGGAGGAGCGGGGTGCAGGGACCCGGGGTTCCTCCTGCGAGGCGGGAGGCCAGCGTCTCCGCTTGCTTCTGCACAGTTGTCGTGTTTGAGGTATCGCCCTTACGCCGCGTTTACCGCTCCTGTATCCACCAAACGTCAGTGTCAGGCTTCATCTTTTAACTCCCTCAACAATTTATCGCGTACATTCCACAAAGAAATCTACAGTTTCTGAACCAGCGTTTCTGTATTTTTGCACGGGAGAATGAAGCCTTCGAAAAGAAGGTCCTGTGATGCCGCCTGTGCCGAACGGCTGATTGCGACGGTGAATTGGCACAGACCGCGAAGCGGCATGTATTACAAACCCTGAGAGCTTTTACAGTCCACAGGCTTATCAGTTTTAATCCCGTAACACCTAGATTATTCTTAAAATACAATGTTTATTTTTGGACCCTGTTTACTGTTTTAAATCTTTTAATAAAAGCCTGTGTTACATAAGCTCTTTCATACACCCCTAGTTTCCATTGTACAAGGCAGAACGCTTAAAAAAGGAACACTGGCTTCAGGTGGATTACTCAAGAGACCTGGAAATACCAGTTTTGCACCAATATCACTATTTTGGTATGATAAAGGTATGATTTTTTTCTCTTAGTGTATTACTTGACTCGTATCCAATAATCTTTACGTATACTAACAGAGATGAAGTTTTGTCATAAAATTAACTATCCAAAGTTACATTTTAACTATCCTAGCGTAAAACATATAAAGAAGTTAAAAAAACACAGTTTGCAGGTAAGTCCCAATGTTCCTGTGCTTTGGGCTTTCCGCTTCAACACATTTGGACCATAAACTGGAGGCGGAGCAACAGGCAGCAGCACGGTTAGTTGGTGCTGTAGTGGGAAGGGAATATCAGAGACGGGAAAATCAGAGAAAGGAGAGCGCAACGAAAAGAATGGGGCTTGTTTCTGATGAGGGAGGAGAGATTTTGTCATTGGTCTTTCTCACAGCCAGCTGCTCTTTCATCAAAAACACCAGGGCACGTGGTGGAATTTGTGGCATTCATAAAGTGTTTTAAAGGAATCTATTTTTCATTGAAATAGTTATAATCCAAAACAGAGAAAACGTGTATTTCCTGTGAAAAATGTACACCGATATTTTTCCTCATTATTCCATTTGCTAACAGGGTAATTTCAGGTGCTGCACACCAGCGCAGTAACAGGCACTTTGACTTCAGACGAGTGGTACCCGTTGGGGAAGGAAATAGCGGTCCCCGGTTGAGCCTTATCACGTGAAGATGGACACACGATGCCAAGCCGCATTTCCTTCCCGAGATTAATTACTAATAACGTGTCGGCAGTGTGCCTGCAGTATATCCAAGGTGATGCGTCCGATGATCATCCTTCTCTCTTGCATTACAAAACACGTCAGTCCAAAGCTAGCAGGAGCTGGGACAGATGGCATCTCGGAGAGGCACAAGCTGCTCCGCTCCCCCCTGCGCCTGGCCCGCCTCGGCGCCCCCGCGTCCTGCCGACTTCGGAGCCTGGCAGCTGCGAATTCGGGCACGCTTTTCAAGATGCTGCTGTCCTGCTCCTCCTGTGTGCCACCCACAAGTCACCAATGCTGTGGTTTTGGCACCCGTCAGGGGTACACACTGCTGCTGCCTTCCCCACGACTCGGCTCTGCTCGCTGCATGGCCTGTACGCGCTAGCGAAGTCTCTTGTACGGAGTTACTGTTTTGGAGCTGCTGTGTCCTTTGAGCCGATTTAGAATTGTAGAATGGTTAGAGTTGGAAAGGACCTTGAAGATCACCCAGTTCCCCCCCCTGCCCTGGGCAGGGCCACCTCCCCCCAGCCCAGGTTGCTCCAAGCCCCATCCAACCTGGCCTTGAACACCTCCAGGGATGGGG